ATTAACATGAAGTGGACAGCTTTAAATACAACACTGATCCGATTAGTTATTTAGCTCAAATAAATTGTTGAAACTGATGACCTAGTTAAGTTAACCTAGTTTTTTAAGTTACAGAAATATTCCTGAGTTTTTACTGGGTTTTTTTGTTTTCACAGAACAAAATTAAGTCTGTGTTGCTTAAAATTGCTAAAGCTACTTGATCAGGAATGTTTAACTTTAAAAATTGAGTTAGTTTTACCTAATTTTTGATGTTAACAGTTTCAGCATAAAGCGTAAACCAGAGTGTCATAGCGACCCAGTTCACAGAGAGAGAGTAGCGAAAGAATACTTTAGAAATGAGAAAGAATCAGAGCAAATGACATGGTTTGGCTCTTTGACCTGCTGAGATCAGCAGCAGGTGTTTGTGAACACACTGTGTGTTTCAGCTGATGAACTATAACCGCAAAATCACCAGACTCCCTTCAAAAATAGCTCCGTTTTGGGAGTTACTGAGTGAGGAGAACAGGTCCATTATTTGGACCTTCTTGTAAATTCGGCAAATGTTTCACATTCAGTTATTTCTTACTTAGATAAAAAAAAAAAGTGGTTAAAAAAGGACAGTAATAATGGACACTAGTTGACACAATTGTATGTATTGATGTAATTAAAGCTGTCCTCGTCTGATCGGATCAGCAAAGACGCAGGTTAATACCAGCTGGAAACCGACTCACACTGCAGTAACACCATCTTTAGAGGTTGCTCTGGACCACTGACCTTTCAGTTACGTTCATATTGGAGCTGTTAACCATCTTTAATACAATGAACACACTGGCTATGTTCACAGGCACATCAAAAATGAGATTATTTGTAGTTTGTGTATTGAATCACTCACAGAATTGCTCACAGTCACATTATTGTGCACATATAAAAGCAACTAATGTGAAATCCATGGTCACGAGCAACATCCACTCTATTAGAACATTATTATTATCATTATTATTATTATTATTATTAGCCAAAACAACCCGGTGCTTGTATATTTAGCTATTTACGTTTGTTGTTTGCAACTTCAATTGTTTCATACATAGCTGCTAAAAAGAAGAGCAGCTGTAACACACTGAATGCACAGGTGAACGGTGGAGAAGTTCTGCAAGAGCTGTGTGAGCAGTTGTAGAGCTGGCGACTGTTCTGATGTGGAAACTTGTCACCACACGCTGATTGATTCTCTGAAGAGGAAATCCAATTTTAAGCATACAGGGGTGAGTAATAGGTAACAGAGACTTTAACCACCTGTCAACGATATCATAAGAGAACCTAACTCAAGCTTAGTTTATGCACAGCTAATGCATGACTCATGAGGATTTAATGCATAGACTGGATCTATTAACATAATAGATGATAATACCAATATACATGATTTTACTTTTTGGTCAAATCTTGGGTATGCAGCAATATACTGCACATATAGTGGATAGAAACGGCAACATTTCCTTTGGATGTCATAATTTGCATCATTGAAAACACTCTCTAATTCTTTTCGATATCTGCTGTCAGATACCTTACTCATTTGACTTCTTTTGTACTGCTTTTGTTTAGTCATCAGTCACTCTCTCTCTCGCTGCAGGCAAAGAGAAACAGCAGCAGGGGAGAATTCCCATGTTGCTGGAGATGATGCTGCGGAGCAGCCGAGACAACCCACCAATCACGGAGAGACAATGACGGATCCTCCTGGCTGCCTTACAGAACATCAGTCAAACTGAGCTTTGTTAGTGCTGCATTCCTCTGCATTGTCCCTGTTTGCAAACCCTTAATCAAGCAATGTTAATTGAATCTATATCATAAATGTGACACCTTAAACTGCTCATATGTTTTATTATGATAAAATACTTAGAGGTGCATTATTTATAACTATTTACAATTACACTGGAAAGTGATAGAGTTTGCATTCTTCAAGTGTGGTATAACTAAAAGGTTAACCTTTGTTTTTCACTCTTCTCTATAGCGCAGGAATCAGTGGCTGCAGTCAACATTGTTGGGTCTGTCACATTATCACAGTGTTTTAATTAAACAGAAGGAGACGTGCAGAAAGACAGGAGAACAATGACTGATCCCCAGGCTGCCATACAGAACGTTGTTCAGACAGAGCTTTGTTGGCACTGCATGCCTTTGCATTGTCCTCCTGTCTGCAATTGTTTGAATCAAATGATGCCAATTATGTCTCTGTCATTTATACGTATAATACTGTGAGCTATGTGATTCATTATTCTACTTCGTCAGGGACCTATGTGGTTTGGAAAAAAATATATAGTTAACCGAGCCGAGCAGTGGGTGTCCTATCTGGATTGCTTGTTGTATTAAAATATGGACAGTCAAGATACCTACTCCTCAAAAACCCATTTTCACTTTATTTGTTTTAGCTTTCTTACTGTTGTCCTTGCAGTTTAGATTGACCTACACAAGCCTTTTAATTGTTTTAAAATCTGACAGCTTTTTTTATGGCCTTGCAATATACACAATATTGCCTGCTGTTGTTCATCAATAAATAATTACGTTTTTATATTTGTATGAAATATTTTTACTTTTGGTGTTTCGAGTGTTTTTGGCTCACTTCTTATTCTACTTCCTCCACCTAAAAAGCTCATTTGTTTTTATTATCACTTTTGACAGCAGCTTGAGAGACTTTCCAGTCAGGGTAGAACAAGTCTAATAATTGCATAATGCAGCTGCCAAAAAAACGTGCGTTTACAGGTGCAGCAAAGTTTTGAACTCAACAAAGTCACCATATCAAAAGGGGGAGGAGGGAGGTTAGACAGGAAGAGAATGAAAAACTCGTTAAGCTTTTGTTTTAGCTGGCAGACTAGCAGAGGGAACCGTGACTGTTTGTGTGTGTGTGTGTGTGTGTGTGTGTGTCCTGGTCTCTCTATTCTGTAAACTGACAGGGAGGTTGAGACGACTGAGATGGGAATGTCAGCACAGGATCAGCAACCCTGCTGGTGGACACCAGTTGGGGGTCTGCCTCCTCTGGGACGCCACTGCATCTAAATGTGTGTATGTTTGATAAGGCGTGTGAATGTGTGTGTGTGTGTGTGTGCATTCTGACTTATGTGTGTACATCATAAATATGTGCGTGTCTTCGTGAATGTTAGGGGCCAGTGTCTGGGCCTTTTTTGTGGAGGTTGCGCGGTTGACGCTCACCTTCCTTGAATTGTGAAAAAAAGCTGACGCGCGGAGTTGAGTCTGACATGACCCTCTCAGCGCACACCACAGCATGGCCCGCTGACGAGTGTGTTTGTGGTCTGCGTGTGTGGTTA